TATAAGTAAACACAAAAGAGAGCAGAAGAATCTGCATAAGGCTCATATTAAGTCTTTGGTTCCGAACCGGAAGGATATTACAATAGCACTGGTCTTGTCATCCAGCTCCTGGCACAAAAGCAACCGAGTGTGTTGCTAGCATTTATATTATGCAATAAATGCCGAGACATTTGCAACTCCGGCCAAACTGTTGATTCAACGAGCTGTTGATTCAATAAAGTTGCAGAGACCAGAGTGTCGGAGCAGCAGCACATTAGCTTCACACAGCCAATGTGAACAGTTTGGTTTGAAGTTCACAAGCAAACAATCACAAAAAGTATCAGCAAAAAAAAAAAACAAGGGAGTAACGATTGAGCTCCAAAAACCTGGAAGACAAACACTTGTGTAATAATATGTCATTGAAGACATTTAAGGCATTTCCACAGACTGGGTTTGCATGACTAAACCAGCTAAATAAGACAACAAAGCTCTTTCATTACAACTTTTTCCCTCCTTGAAGCCCTCTGCGTCGTCCATTATCCTCACTGGAAAAGACTTGGAAGCAGCTTCATATTTTGTTTGGATAAACAGGAAAAACTCTCTCATAAACATGTCCAATCTGATAACGTGGGCCTTACACAGCTGAGGGTTGCGTCAGAGGAACGTCAGACAGCGTTTGTTTCAGCAGAAAACTCATGTGTGAGTTTATTGGTTGTAGTAGGGGAGGCTGAAGAGGCTGAAAAGTTCTTCAAATAGCACGTGACGAAATCAAATACGAAAATCTCAAGTGGATCTTCTCCAAACACAACATCCGCCGGATCAACAGTGACGCTGCCAGGGTTGGGATCTTAAATAGAAACTGAAATGAATACATAAAATACACAAGAAACAGCTCGGCGAGAGAGAATTTTTATGAAATTTTGACACAAGACAAACTCTCAAATTTCTGTGTTCTGTTCTAACAAGTGTTTTACTTTCCTCAAAACTAAGGCGTTGAATGATCTGAAAATTACAGAGTTCATGACGAACCCTGATTAAATACGCCTGAAAATTATGCAACAGAATAGTGTTTTCAAAGTATGCATTTACAGCACAGTATCCGCGCAGTGCATTAGAAAACATCTTTGTGTCTGTGGTTATGATCCAGCCAGAAAATAAAGTAAAAAGAAGGAAACCATTGCAACTGAAGAGGTGTCATTCAATAGGAAGACATGAAGTTACATATAAGGTCATGAAAGCAGATAGGAGGGTGACGTGAATGGTTTGGGAAGTTGTGTTTTATGTCTCCTCCCAAAATAGTGGCAGTCCAGTGTGTGCGTTCATTGTGGTCTAGGAAGCATTCACAGGACTATTAATTGAAGGATACTTTACACATTATTTAGCCGCTACAGAGGCCATGAAATTATTTTCCTTGAGTGCAGAGATAAGTGAAACGATAAGTGGATTCTCATTTATTGTCAGAATTAAAATTAGCTAATTTTTGTAAACAAAGAAATCGAAACTTATCCTTATTTTAAACTGCTTAAGTAGAGTCAAGGACCCATAAGTGGCCCCTGAACCGCAGTTTGAACCGCTTAGCAAATATAGCAACACACAAGTATGACTGACAGACAAATTAGCTGCTGCTTTTTGAGACACACTGAATATATTTATTACATTCCTCTCTTTTATTGCATGGATATTAAAAATGCACTGCTGTCACTTAACTGAAACAACAAGGACTTTGTAGGTTGTATGTTTGACCCTATTCAGAACTTTCATGTTGCCGTACGTAGAAGAATGAATGTGTGCAAAATATTTGTTGGTATTCATTGTAGACTTTTATACTATGTTAAATACATTTTCTGATAAGTTGACATATTTTTGGTTCCAAATGCAAAAGACCCCCAAAGTCCTGAATAGGGTTAACAAAGGTTGTTGTACCTGCAGCGTTTAATATTTGCACATCAATCTAGAACTGCAAAAAGGAACCTGTACAGGTGTTCAG